GATAGCTAGTAGGGAATCAGAGCCCCCTTCTCCAGACTATTCCTACACAGCCTACAAAACCAAATCTCCAGGACCCCCAACTCCAAGGTTTTCCTGCTAGTCCCTCCCCAGTGAGAGAGAGAGAGAGAGAGAGAGAGAGAGAGAGAGAGAGAGAGGCCCTGCACAGACAAGTTTTGTCAGATCCAGTGGGTGGTCCAGCATGAAGCTCCCCCCCCGAGGGGGGGGCTTGAACCCCTTCATCACAAATCCCAAAGTGGTGACAGACCTAGAGAATTAGGCTAGGTGGTTTGAACCGGTGTGTGTGGCCGGATGCGGCCCGGCGGAAACGGCTGGGTGTGTCCTGATAAATACTGCGTTGATGAAGCTGCACCTCCCGCTGGCCTTTGGGCCGAGATTTTCATTAGGACACCTCCCCGGCCTCTCCGGCCACATGACGCACTTCGGGTGTCCATCCCAGAGAGCTCAGGCTCCGCAGGGACCCCCAAAGTAGATTGTAGAGGTGACCCAGAGTGGCCAGGCTGCAAACCCCACTGAGCCCCTGGCACAGGTTTCGGGATCGCGGGGCCGTCCACGAAGGTCACAGAGTGGAAAAAACACTTTTGCATTATTGAGCCTCGCAGATCCTACGGGATCCACTGGTCACGCCCCCCCCCCGGGATCACCGCAAAGCACCTAGCTAGGGCCACCCTCGGGAAAGCAGCGCCCCACGCGGGATTCGTTGCTCCGGGGACATCCACCGCCTGCAGCCCCCTGCCTGTAGCCAGCACCCGGCCACACTCTGGAATGCCTCAGCCGGGCGTGAGTCCTCCTAGTCTTAGTTTCTCCTTCACGGGGGTGGGGGGCGGGGGGGAGGATGGAGGGGGCGGGGTCTACAGTCAGGTCCCCAGCACTTCATAACAGCCTGGAAGAGAAATAGAGGGGGGTGTCAGCACACCCCAGGGAGGAAGAGGACAAGGAGGTCAGGGTCAGCTTCGGTACATAGGGAATTTGGGGCTAGCCTGGGCTATGTGAGACCCCGAAAACGGAGTGGGGGGGGAAGGATAGGGAAGATGAGGAATGAGGGGGAAGAGAAGAGGAAACAGAGACTGCGGGCCGCTCAGAGGACGTTCGGAGACCTCAGACACTTCCTCCTCCCTCACCCGAGGGAATCCCGCAGTGCCATCCCCACTTTCTGTGTACGGAAACTGGGTCCCCGGCAGTTGCTAAATTGAATGGGATTGGGGGTGAGGATCTCTCTAGATTGCACCCCGCCGCTCGGGGTGACGCCTGACGCCGCAGCCCCCCGGCGTCCCGGCTCCCCACAGCCAGGTGTTTGCTCAGCGTAGCCGGAGCGTTGTGGATCCGATGGAGACGCGGGGCCGCCGGGGATCGATCCGAAGCAGCTGTCGCCGATCAGCCCTGGGGAGCAACCACAGGCCCCAGCGCCCCATCCCCGTGCAGGGATCTCAGGGTGGGTGTCTGGTGCACCCTGAATGAGCCCCCAGTGCACCATGCTCAGGACCCCCTATAACTCCAAATGCTACAGAGAACGCTAGGGCTCCGCGCTCTCTCCAAAATGGGGACACCCTGACTAGGCAGAACCTCTCCGCTCCACTCCTACCTCCTTGCAACCCAGGTTCCCATCCCGGTCCGTACGAAGAGGTCCGGCGCTTAGGGCTTGTCGGGATCCTGGTGTCCGCAGGTTTGGGGGAGGCTGACACGAGGACTTGCTGGGCTGAAGGGATAGTTACCTGAGACCTGTATGAATACCTTCCTATAAGGAGTGGTGAGACCGGTGCAGAGCGGCTGGAGACCTTTATTTTGGTGGAGGAGAAAAGCTGTCAGAGGGGGATCTGCGGCAGACTGGGGAGGAGGCTGGAGGAGCCCGGCTCCCAAATGGGACAACTTTGGGTGTCTAAAGTCCTCACCTCAATTTTTAACTGAAATCAGAGAGCTGAGAACAGGCGAGTTAGAGCAGCCCAAGAAAGTAGTGACCAGAGATGGGGGACTTCAGCTTTTATGTGGGGGGGCTCCTGGGGGTCGAAGGGAGGGGCTGCTCAGCCTCAAGTCCAGGAATTACAGAAACCAGCGCCTAAACTCCCATCCCTCATCCCCTTGGCTGATCCAATTCTCAGAGCCCTCAGATGTTAACTGAGCCCCAGTTTCTCCCAAACGTGGAAAGGGCACAGAGCCGGTGAACATTAGGCTCGAAGCACATACGGGGTACCCAGAAGGCCTTGTGGGGCTTCCAGACTCGAACTCTAATTTTCCCAAAGGGAATATAGAGGCCCTGAGAGAGCTCCCTAAGGTTCCCACAGGGGGCAGTAAAGAGGGGGTGCCCAGTCCCCCTTCTAGCCCACCCCTCCTCCACCCTCAATTTGCGTAATAACCCAAGATCGATCAGGGCCCAGCCACCCGCCTGCCCCGTGGCCCCGCTCAATTCTATTTTACTAATTACTAAAAGGCCGTTGTGTGTGTCGGGGTGGGGGGGTGCCAGCTCTGGGGCTCCAAGCGGGGGGACATAGTCCTTCTCTGAGGGAATCCCTTTTTTTTTCCTCATCTTTTAATTGGACCACAGACCCTGCAGAGCAAGCCCAGAGGAATCCAAGTCTATTCAGCTTGGGGCTGCCCACGCCTAAGAAAAGTGTGGGTCCGAGTGGCCCCCTATCAAGTGTAGGCGGCTTGAAGAAGTATCTGTGGTCAATTGACCGCGTCTTGAGAGAGTCACCTTCATGTTAAATCCACACCACCTTTTTTCTTCAAAATTGATTCTTTGCTCATCAGAGAGGGTGAAAAAAACTGCCTTGGTCATTACTTTAAAAAAAAAAATCGAGGGAGGAAATACTGGGGCTGCATCTTTTTAATCCCCTCTCTGGGAGCTGTTATTTGGAACAACTTACTCGGAATCTTTGTTTTTTCCACCTATAAACACCCCCAATCATGCCTCCTGCTGCCCCCGCTGGCTTCCTTGGATGCCCTGGATGCTCTCCTTTAAGGAAGGATTGATTTCCACACCCCATGATTATTTTTAATTATCTGTGATTGTTACAGGTTAGAATTGGGGACCACAGTCACTTCCCCTATGTCCTTGCCACACTCTGGTTCTGAAAGGGGCTGGGGAGGAAACTCAAGTGGTCTAACAGACCCCTCTGCTCCTCTGGAAGATGGGTGTACCCCCAAATTGTCCATGTACCCTGAATTAGAAAACCCCAAGGCCTTATCCTTTGGGGGGAGGCAGTTAGATAAAAATATAGGAAAGAAAAGGGGTCAGTTTTACAGCTGCCACATCCTTACCCAGGGACCAACGTAGGAAATGATGGGAAGGTCGGGTGTGGTAGGAAAACCAACCTGTCACCTGTCACCAGAGCACAGGGGAGGCAGAGGCAGGCAGATCTCTGTGAGATCAAGGCCAGCCTGGGCTACATGGAGACCCTGTCTCAAAACAAAGAAACAAACAGAATAGGTGGAATTTTCCTCTCTGGGGCTGGGTAAAGAGGGGCTGCCTGGTAAACAATTAGAACTTAATAAATGCAGATTCCTAACAGTAGCCCTGTTTCACCTTCAGAGCTTGGACAGGAACCCCTGGGTCAGATCTTCCCCCACAAACACGCACCTGGTAACACTGAGAAAAAGCCCCTTTTTCTATAGCTATTTACCCACCTTTGTCCACCACTGGGGCAGGCAAGAAGGGGAAACTGAGGCACAGAAAGGATATTCTTTGGTGGGTGGCCATAATGTGCCTGTCTCCCCTCCGCTGTGTAACTGTATAGAGATACCAGACTGCATCTATCTTTCTTTCTTTCTTTCTTTTTTTCTTTCTCCCCAAGGCTACAGTGGGGGGTACTGGGCTGTCACCTTCCAGCCCTGGGGAGCCTCCACCAAAATGGGGTAATTCAGGCTTCAGAAGACACCCCCCCAAAATGCTCCCATTTCCAGTGCTAGACAGTAGGCAGAGGAGGAAAGAGGATGGAGGATGGGAAGCTGGGGCTGACTTGGGGTTCCTTTCCTGACCTCCAACTCTGAGATGCAAGAACCCTCTTGGGTTCTGCTTGACCACTCCGGGACTCTTTGCTCTGCCTGTGTAGAGGGATCTGTCCCTGATGGGGGGGCTTGTGGCTATGAGATACTCCCATTTCCACATACCTGCACTTTCCATGCCTCCCTGAGAAGCCCCCCTCATCCAAACACCCTGGAGTTAAGAGGCTTTTTGGCAGCCCCCCCCATCCAGGCTGGGCACTTCTATTGCACAATCGGGGAAGCTAAGGCTCAGATGTCTAGTTATCCAAGGAGCAGATTTTTTTTGTTTTTGTTTTTTTTTTTTTTGGAGACAGGGTCTCCCTGTAACCCAGGCTGGCCCTGAACTCATTAAGTCAAGAGCCACCTGACTGTCTCCCTAGCTTTCCTACTAAGGGTATGGGACACCACACTGGGCTCAGAGAGCAGACCTTGAGACTGCTCTAATGTGGACTGTGTACCAGCCTTGGGGAACTTTCCCACTCTCAGCTTCACCCTCCAAAAAGGTTTCCAACTCCCCCTGTGAACATCTGAGGAAGGTTAGCTTGCAAAACAGCCTTATCTTTCTTGGGAGGAGGATTGTTAAATCAAAGAATGGGGTTACATATGTCCACAGGTCAGGGACTCAGGGTGTGCCAGGTAGGAACCACGGGGGGGAAAACATCCCCGGTGCAGAGATGAGCCCCCTTCACTGCTCACACACACCCAGCTTCAGCTAGGGTGTGCCGCCCCACTTCTTGTCCCTCTAGGTTTGCTGGAGAGCAGGTTGGGGGACCGCTGAGCCAGCCTGGGGTTCAGCACAGACAGGCGGAGCGATGGGCGGGGGCGCTGACGTCAGACCCGGGCCCGGGAGCCGCCGGCGGCCGCCCCGCCACATCCTGGTGGCCGCGGCAGCAGCCAGAGGCCCGGCCAGTGCACTGTGCAAACCGGCCAGCACTCCACCACCCGGAGCAGCAAGCCAGGTGCCCGGGGGACCATGCGGAGACCTTGAGGGGTGCAGCGAGGGAGCCCCAGGATGGAGCTGAGCTTAGACAGTCTCGGGGGGCTGCATGGGGTGACACACGCACAGCCTGGCGAGCTGCTGAGCCCCGGCCACGTACGCTCTGCGGCCCAGCACCGTAGTCTGGTGGCCTCAGGGCGGCCGGGCCTGGTGTCCGGCATGGCCAGCCTGCTGGACGGCGGTGGCGGTAGCAGTGGGGGTGCAGGGGCTGCAGGGGGTGCAGGGGCCGGGGGTGGTGGTGGCCCTGACTTTCGTGGGGAGCTGGCTGGTCCCTTGCACCCGGCCATGGGCATGCCCTGCGAGGCTCCGGGACTGGGTGGCACCTATACCACCCTGACCCCTTTACAGCACCTGCCACCGCTGGCCGCCGTGGCCGACAAATTCCATCAGCACGCGGTGGCCGGGGCGCACGGAGGCCACCCGCACGCACACCCGGCCACCGGGCCACCGCCACCGCCTCCCCAGCGCCTGGCGGCCAGCGTGAGTGGCAGTTTTACACTCATGCGTGACGAGAGGGCCGCGCTGGCGTCGGTGGGTCACCTGTACGGTCCCTACGGCAAGGAGCTGTCCACCATGGGATCCCCACTGTCCCCGCTGCCCAACGCGCTGCCCCCGGCTCTGCACAGCGCCCCACAGCCACCACCACCTCCTCCTCCGCCTCCGCTGGCTGCTTACGGGGCTCCGGGTCACCTGGCCGGGGACAAATTGCTGCCACCCGCCGCCTTCGAGCCACACGCCGCGCTGCTGGGGCGCGCGGAGGACGCGCTGGCCCGAGGGCTGCCTGGAGGAGGAGGCGGCGCCGGGGGTGGCGGAGCAGGTGGCGGGGCGCCCTTGCTGGCTCCGCTGGGCGGGCTGGCTGCGGCCGGGGCGCACGGGCCTCATTCGGGTGCTGGTGGCCCCGGAGGCGGTGGAGGTAGCGGTGGAGGTGGTGGTAGCGGACCTGGAGCCGCGGCTGAAGAAATCAACACCAAAGAGGTGGCCCAGCGCATCACTGCCGAGCTGAAGCGTTACAGCATCCCACAAGCCATCTTCGCCCAGCGCATCCTGTGTCGCTCGCAGGGCACGCTGTCCGACCTGCTTCGAAACCCTAAACCCTGGAGCAAGCTCAAGTCGGGCAGGGAGACTTTCAGAAGGATGTGGAAATGGCTGCAGGAGCCGGAGTTCCAGCGCATGTCCGCGCTGCGTCTGGCAGGTAGGAAACAAGGGCCATCAGATGCCCAAATGAGGGGGACAATATTCACTCAGGGTTGGAGGGGCACTCTTCAGCATTCCCCCAGAGTCTGCAACCGGGCGGCTCTCTTGGAGGAGGCCAGTCTGAGGTCTGTAAGTCCAATCCTTTTGCACCATTGCCTGAAGGGAGATGGGGGATCCTACCATTGTCCCCCAACTCCGTTGCTTTGATCTTTTGCAAAGGTATAGAGTCCTGGTGTCTTTTGGATGGATAGACAGAGCGCCAAACTGAAGTGCTCTGTGTGTGTGTGTGTGTGTGTGTGTGTGTGTTTGTGTGTGTGTGTGCACGCGCGCGCGTGTGTGTTGCACATGTCTCTAGGGTGCTGCTGGTCCTGTGTCCCACATGCACGTCCAACAGAGGTGCCACTCCCCTTCTCTCCATCCATGCTGCCGAGGGACCTGCCTCACCTCACCTTCTGCCGCCCAGACACAGATCCGGGCCTGGCTACCACTCCGCCCCTCTTTGCTCTCTCTCTGCAGCTCAGCAGCTCACCCCTGCCGCTGATCGATTCACTATCCCCTCCCCAACCCTCCTTCCTCAGCCACTGGCAAAGGTCATTCGAGGTTGGGGGAGGGGTGGCCTGTGGGACGCTGGGCCTGGCTCCCCCCCCCCAGTTTTTCTGTCTTTCCTACTTTGAGTGGGACACCCCCCTGTCTCTTGGGGTTAGCTCCCAGGGTCTCAATCCCATCTTGGCTCCCTTGAGTGTCTGTCGCACCACACAAATCTCAGCTCCCTGGGGACCAGTTGTCTCTTTTCCTCAGTCTATACCTGTACCTTCCCATCCTGGTGAGAAAGTGGGGGAACCCAGAACCCTACATCTTGTGTGTGTATTTTGGGGGTGACATATAGCTAGAGGTCTAGCCACAACATTTTCTGAAGCTGTGGTGGGGAGGGGGCTGTGTACCCTGCACTGGGGACAATAGCAGCCTTCTAGAATCTCATCGATCCCTCTGTACAGAGAGAAAGAGAGAGAAAGGCTGGTGGGGGTGGCAACTGGGGATCCAGCAAGGTGCACAGAATTTACTGTAACCCCCAGGCCATGCTGCCAAACATGGGAGGACTGGAGAAGTTGGGACCCTGGGGAGGGCAGAGAGAGACATAGACTAGTGACTAGTGTCTGAGCCCTTGTCATAGGCTGCATCCCACACCCCAGCCTCCTGCTGCTGACACAGGAGGAGGGCTTCAGTTTCCCCTTCCTCAGAGTTTTCAGTGGCATTTGTCAGGATTCCCCATTTTGGGTGATGGTGGGGAGTAAACATGGTTGGGATGTACAGGGTTACACCGTCCCCAGTATGGATGCATGCTCCAGGGTGTTAAGAAACAAACAGGTTCATTTTAAGGGCCCCTCTTGCTGGGGACCAGGGCAAGGATGTGAAGGTCCACCACACAGCCCTGGCCTTTGCTGGGCTAAGCAGACACTCAAAGCTCAGATCTGTTCTGTGAGTCTCTGTGAGGGTCACCAGGGTGGGTGCTGTGTGGGTGCTGGGACAGCAGCCCCATCTCCTATGCATGTAACCAGAGGGCATTGTGTGCGATAGAAGTGTACCAGAATCCAGATCCACACCACTGACTGCGTACCTGTCACCTTCAGTGTCTAAGATGGCTGTGAGGGTCTTTTTAATTCTTTTTTAACTTTTAAATTTATTTTTACTTATTCATTTTTTTGAGACAAGGTCTCACTATATAGGCCAAGGTGGCAAGGTCTGGGATAAGCCATGTGTCACCACAATGGGGTGTTTGGGGGACACCATAGAAAAGGCAGAGAGGAGACCAGGTACACGGAGAAGCCGGCTGTTTCCAGGTCTTAACCCACACTGGCACCAGCCACCAACCCTCAAGTCTTGTGCTGGCCCCCTTTGAGGTGTCACACATGGGTAGGGAAACTGAGGCCAAGCCAACAGGGAGCAAGAGCTGGTGGGGTGAGTGCAGGGCATGGGGTATTGGGGTACTCAGATAAACACCCCACCTTCCCCAGCTCTGTGGCCTCATGGTCAGTCCCCTTGGTGAGTTACAGCTGCCTATGTCCACCTGGGGTCTTTAGATCCTACCAGGGCCTTTAGTTCTGGTCCCTGCACAGATTGCAAGCAGTTAAGTGGTGGCAAACTGTGGTGCTTAGAGAGTGATGGATGCCTAGGTGAGTCCCCTCCACACCCGCCAATGCCACCAAACCCTGAGACCATCACCCCCTTCCCCACCCTGAGTGTCAGCACTCCCTGTCCATCACTCTCTTGTCTCCTCCTGAGCCCAGGAGGGAAACTGTCCACGCCAGTCAAACCCTCATGGGGTGCAGCTGACACCACACTGTCCCCAACTGCAGGGTATCTCAGAGACACTGGGCCCAAGAGTGAAGGGTACATAGGAGGGGGAGAGAGAAAGATGAAGAGATGGCAAGACTGAGAGGGAAAAAAGGGAGAAAAGAGAGAGAGAGGGAAAGAGACCAAACAGAAAGGGAGAGAGAGGAGAGAGAGAGAGAGAGAGAGAGAGAGAGAGAGAGAGAGAAGGTAGCATTCTGACTCCCACTCCTGGTCCTCCCAGGGCCTCCTCCCTCCTTAGTGTCTTTGTCCTGTCCCAGCTCCATCATCTTTTGTCATCAGCATGCCTCAGTTTCCTCAGTTGTAAAATATGCATTGGGGAGGGAGCCATCTAAGGCTCAGACTCCAGCTCTCCCCCCACACCTCACGCCCCAGATCTCTCTCTCTCTCTCTCTCTCTCTCTCCTCAGCCCCCCCCCAGCGACCATCGTCATCACTAACTGTAATTTGGGGACCTAGCTGGGGGAGGGGCAGCTCCTGGCGGGTGGGGCGGTCGATGAATTCGAATTACCGTCTGTAATTCATCACCGAGGGCCAGGTCGATAGCCTCAGCCGGCTTCAAATATTGTTTAAATTGCAACTCCACATTGAAAAAAAGGCTTTTTTTGGGGGGGGGGACTGATCAGAAAAATATACATATGTACTAAAACATCAGAAAGAGGAATCTCTCTCTCTCTCTCTCTCATACACACACACACACACACACACACACACACACACACACACACACACCTGTCCCCACTCTCCCTCCTCCACTGGGATGGTGGAGGAGAATGAGGGGAAACAGAGGCAGGGAGGAAGCAAGGGTCCATAGGGTACTTGGGGGCAAAATTGATGTGGGACACACGAATGACGCAGATGTGGTTTCCAGGGAGGCCAACAAGGCTGGAGGTGAAAAGGGAGAACTGGAGGTGGCAGCAGAGGGACCCCAGCACTTCAGACCTTCCCCACCTCTCTGCTTCTTCCACTGAGGATTTAGGGGGACTGCAAGAACCAGCGAGTTGTGAGGCTCTGGGATCCTTTAATTAGACCAGGTCTCCTGAAGCTCAGGCTGGCCTCAAACTCAGTATGTAGCTGTAGCTGAAGCTGACCCCGAATTCCTGGTCCTCCTGCCTTCATCTCCAAGTGCTGGGGATGAACCCAGGACTTCCTGCATGCTAGGCGAGTGCTCTGCCCATTGAGTTACAAACAATCTGGCCACTGAGCCCCAGTCCTACCTCTTAATCTTTTATTTTATTTTCTGTGTATGAGTGTATTGCCTGCATGTGTGGAAGTGCATCCATGTCATGCAATGCCCACGAAGGTCAGAAGAGGACGTTGGATCCCCTGAAACTGGAGTTATGGACAGTTGTTAGCTGCCATGTGGGTGCTGGGAATCAAACCTGGGTCCTTTGCAAGAGCAGTCAGTGCTCTTAACCACTGGGCCAGATCTTATTCTTAAGGACGCCTGAATTTTAGTTGAGTGTGGTAGCACCAGCCTTTAGCCCCAGTACTCTCAGGAGGCAGAGACAGGCAGATCTCCATGAGTTCAAGTCCAGCCTGGTCCACCCGGTCTACATAGTATGCTCTAGCTGGAGCTACAGGGAAACCTTGTTTCAAAAAAAAAAAAAAAAAAAAAAAAAAAAAAAAAAAGAGCCCTGGGTCTTCTGTGTAAAGCTCACGGACTCTAATAGACACCTCCCCTTCCCAAAACAAGAAAACAAGGCTGCAGCCCTCGCAGGTGCTCCAACACCTGGCCTCACCTGGGCTCTATTCCAGACTGTTCCTACTCAAAGATCCTGGCCTCAGCTTGTTTCCTCATCTGAGGAAAAGACACATGAGCCTATAGGAGATGGGCAGGGGGTGGAAGGTGCATACACCCATGAACCAAAGAGGGAACATCGCAGGTGGCCACAGAGGGTACAAAGCACCAGAAGGCCGTGTGTCCGTGCCCCCCGCCCCGCCTCAGTGGAAGGCCCACATAAGGATTTTGGGATTCTAGGCTGTCAGTGTACCTGTGAGCCACGCCTCCAGCCCCTCACTGGAGGGTTCTAGGCTGTCATTCCACCCCTGAGCCATGCCCCCAGCCCCTCTCTGGGGGACTCTAGGCAGCAGCTTTACTCCTGAACTTTGCCCCTAACAGTCAGCAGTCAGCAGTTGGGGGCTTTGGGTGGCAGGAGGGAAACACATGACTTTATAGATTCCAGTGGCCAGTGGGACCCTCAGGTGGCATCTGGCTTCCACTTCTTAAGTCACCTCAAGGCATTTCCACGTCTCAGTGGCTTTGAGGCCTGTGTCTGCCCCTCCTGCTTATGAAAGTGTAGTGAGCACTAATGCTTCTCTACTCCACCTGGCTCTGCTCAGAGCCCTGGCGGGGCGGGGGGGGGGGGGCGCGCAGACTCCAACCCAGGGTACAACTGGATCCCTGTGACTTCCCTTCTCTGGCAAACAGTGCCTTCCTGATCCAATACCCCAACATGAGTCTGATCCAGGTACTGGAAGTCAAATTCACATTAAGACCCAACAGTCACTTCCCCTGACCACAATGAAGCCTGAAAGATGGGAAAAATCACCCCCACTTCTCATCTGCTTGGTGAGAGGCTGGAGCTGACGTTTATCTTTACGTCCCCCTGAGGCTGGCAAGAGGGCTCAGTGGTAAAGGGGCTTGCTG